GTTTTTATATCGTTATCAGATATATATCGTTATATCGAACAGCCCAAGGCCATATGTATTATGATAATATGTTATTATAATAATTGTCATGACATTGAGAGAATTTAATATTTGATCTCCTGCAACCCAGCCAGAGTACTAGCTCCCACATATCTCTGAAACATTAGTCAGTGAATTCCAGATACTCCCCATCTTAACTCATCATGTGTATAAAGCACACCTGTCTACAGAATCAGTTTCTTTCCAGTTTCTCCACCAAAGAACAAAATGACATGACATCAACCCAAAACATATCAACAAGGCAACAAAGGAGCAGATAAAGAAGAAGCTTGGCATTCCTATATGAAATTTGTGGAGTGAGCCGAAGCCTCAAGTTGCCAAGCAACAGCCATGTTTTAGAGTTTCTGTAAAGAGCATTGGGCCAAAATCCCTACAAGAAACATCTTACTGCTGTGCTTCCCAACAAGGGTTTCTCCACCAAAATGCTAAATATTTATTTCACTTAGAAACTGATTTGCATGTCATTAACTTTTACATCATGTGTTTTTCTGGATTTTGGGTTGATATTCTCTGTGCCTTAAAACTTAGAGACTGCTCATTTCTTTCTGAGTGACCAAACCTTCAGTCAAAGTTTGGTTTTAAGACCCTTGTGCTATGACCAGCAGACACCATAGTGGAGATCGTGTTAGGCAGATGACTGTCATGTTTCTGTTTGTAGGTGGCTTCTTGTCTGATGCGGGCTGGTATGGAGATGCAGAGAAAGTGTTTCTGTCGTGCCTGCAGCTGTGCACGCTCCACAGTGAGGTCCTCCACTGCTACCGGGCTGTGGAATGCTGTGTCAGGTCAGTGTCAAAGAGCTGCTTTTATTCACCAAGGAACTCTGTGTCCTATAGTTACAATACCATAATTGTTAGATGTGCCAGATATGATGTTACACAACAAGTGTTTTCTCCCAGAACACTTAGGCGTCTGACAGCACAGCTTGAAATGTTAGTTGGGAATAAAAGCCACAGAGTGATGAAGAGCTGTTCTACAGTCGGTCTTTATGTTTTTTATTATTTGATTCTTATCAGATGAAAACAGATAAAACACAGAAACTGTATCTCATCACAGACGGTTAAGCTTTCCTTCTGAGTGGAAGTAGCAGCTATCTGTCATGGAGTAACAACACTAACTGTTATAAACTAAAAAAAGCA